ATCGTCGAGGGTAAGGACTGAGGACCCATCCCCTTCCTCCCCAGCGGCCGTGGAGCAGGGCTCAAAGCTGTTCAAGCAGGAGCGGGAGCTGAAGCTGTCCCTAACGCAAGGCATGAAAACAGGCAGGAAAGACCCCAAGACATCATGCAAAGAGGAAATGGAAATGGAAATGGAAATGGAAATGGAAATGGAAATGGAAATGGAAGCTCCTCAGGCACCGCTTTCCCACAGGGAAGCGATGGGCGAGCTCGCTCAGGGCCCCCAGGCTCGCAGGCTCTTAGCAGCACCACGCTCAGCAGGTCACCTCATCCTGCCAGCATTTCCCACCTGGGGCGCCTTCAGCCAGTGTTTCCATGTTCGCTGATTTGTTTCACAAAGGTCTGAGTTTGCTTATTTTCCTGCTGCAGTTCCCTGGACTGGTGGAGTTTGGGATGCTGCTGCGGTGCCTCCCAGCACAGCCCCTGCTGCGGCAACTGTGGGTGCTGGAGAATCCACCGCCGGCAGGGAGGCAGCCGCGGCGGCTGGCAAAGGCTCCCTCCCTGACACCCACCCTGGGGATTTTTGCTTTGCGGGCACGTACGTGCGTGCACCCCACACACACACAGAGCCCCGGTGCGGGGGGCTGCCGGGGGGCCTGCAGCCGCAAGCGCTGATTTACCATAAGAAGCCCCAATTGCTGGTTTGAGGGGCTTGCTGTCTGTTAGTGCAATACGAGGGGTCCTGCTCGATCAAACCCACCGTAAGCCGTGAAGCTACTGCGAGTGCCTGTGGTTGTACCAAAGTGGGAAATTGGACTTGCTTTGTTTCTGCTGCCTTCATTTAACAGTGAGTGCCGATTACTCAAAGCGATATGGGCAGGACCTGGTAATATAGCGTTGCTCTAGCATTAACTTAAGGGGATGATCCAGTTGCCTGCAGTGTAAATACTTTGTGGCCAGGAACCCTGCTTTATCGCTTTGTATAGTTTTAAAGTAGTTTAAAGATTGAATAACATAAAATAACATAATATAATGTTATTTATGTTATTTCCCACGTGAAGAACTCCTGTAAACCTTGCAGTATTGAAACTCAGTGAACAAGGCATCTTAGACAAGCTGAAAAACAAATGGTGGTACGATAAGGGTGAATGTGGAGCCAAGGACTCCGGAAGTAAGGTCAGTCGCTGAAGGTCTTTTTGTACTGATTAGCAATCACATTTTGACCCACTGTTTGTTTATACAAAGAATGACTTTCAAAAGTTGGTATTTACATTTTGAAGGTTGAAAGAAAAGAATAGAAAAAAATAATTAAGTCTCTGAACATGACAGCATTTTTCTTTTATGCAGTAGTTGTAAGTATGTTTTACTATTTGAATATTTTGCTAGAAAAAGATGGAAAGAGAAGCCCCCAAAGCCTCCCAAGCTGGTATCTTCATTTAAATGTGCAAGTTTCAGCACAGTCACTGTATATTATTCAGGCCAGCATCTTTCCTTATTTTTCGTTTTATTGAAAGAACACATTTTTGTTTCAAAATTGTGACTTAGATTCTCTACATGTCAGTTTGGGACGCAGCCACGTGCTTGCTAAGGGTGGACAATCTCAAGACAGACCCGTGATAAAGAAAAAAAATGCCCTTCCTGCCCTATTTCCCAATTCAGTTTGTAATTGGTTTGATTAAAAAAAAAGAAAAAAAAAATCTGGAAATACTATTGGTAACTCATTACGTAAATATGGTACATTCTTTTTTATTCTACTTTGAACCATTTTGCTGCTGTACTGCCCTGTCCCACGCCAGCCGTGCTGCAGGGCCAGCGGGCCTCCGGCTCCTCCCATGGGGCAGCTCTAGACCCCAGCTGAGATCCCAGCCCTAGGAGGTGGGATCCTACGAGGATCAGCCTGGTAGCCCCACAATTAAATTGCAGGAAATACTTATTTACACCATTCAGTTAGAAGAAAACAAGGGATTTTTTTTTTCTTAATGCTTATAGATCCATTGAGGAGAAAACCACTGTAGAGGTGCTGGGCTTGTTGGAGAAAGGACATTTTCAAAGGCACCAGGAGGAGGAGAAACCCAGCTCCAGCTGAAATCCGTTGCAGTCGAGTGCCTAACTCCCCTGGTGCCTTTGGAAGTGCTCTCTATAATCATTCAAACAGAAAACTATAATTTGGAAGCCCCTTCTCAGTGTCAGAGGACAATTTCAAATTCCATCAAAGCCAGTAATAAAAATTCATTGATTTCAGCTGGACTGGAAGTTGCTTAAGGCACAACCCTGTAGCTGTTGTATGCGATAAATTTGCCATCGTGGCACATGTGAATGCACAGCAGCTGCGGAAGGAAACTGTAATGGAAAAGAGCTGTAAATGAGTAATACCTTCAGTTCGAGCAGCAGGCTGTTTGCTACAGCTGCATCCACCCAAACGGCCTGTGAAAGGCACAGGCACTCACAGAGCAGATCATCTTTTATTCTGACTGGGTGCAAGTTTTGCTGCCCCTGAAGATACTGGTAAAGCGAGCTCCGTCAGCAAGCGTCTTCCCTGGGCGCAGCCCCGTGCTGTGGTTGCTCTGGCACCTGCCAGGCTGGCGCGGCGAGGTAGCCCAGCCGGGGCCAGTGCCGGCGTCAATTCCTGCACGCAGCCGGCCGGCCCGCGCAGCAGCAAAAGAGTTGCAGGTCTGTTTAATCTGGTTGCAGAATCCCATTTATAAAAACGCAAGCCTTCTCCCCCATCTGACATGTACTGAAGGAAGGTAAACCCTGGCCAGCATTTTTTGTGTTGACTGGTTTTGTTCAGTAACTCACTCTCCCTCGGGCACCAGAGGTGCTAGGTTAGCTTAGGGCTCTGCTGCTTGACCTTAAAGTAACTGACCGTCTTCCTAGGGTGTGGGTTTTTTCCTAACTGGTGAAAAAAAAAAAACGTAGATAAGTTTAGCAGCATCTCAATAATTTTATCTACATTCACCAAAACCAAGTGTGTAGGGCTTTGGGTTTTTCTTTTTCTAGTTTTATAATGGCCATCTGTAAAACCTGCTGTTTTACGCAGCCGCTGCTTTCCCCGTCAGAGCTTTCCCAAGGTGCCTTTGCCACCGGAGATGCTCGGCCATAGACAAGTTTGCTCTGGGACGCCAAAGGCCTGGGGAAAGTCAGTGGCCAAAAAAAATTATCGCCGTGGAGTCGGCCAGGGTTTCACCCGCCAAAGGGTGGGAGACAGAGCAGTCACTGCTGCTGGGGACGGGGGAGGCCAGCACTGATCCACGAGTGGGACACTGAACGCCACGAGTGTAGTTATTCCAGCTAGGACTAAGTGCAAAGTAGCCTGTCGTCTGTCTGTCTGTCTGTCTGTCTGCTCCTCACAGCAAAACTAACGACGTGGCTCGTTTCTCTTAGGACAAGACGAGCGCTCTGAGCCTGAGCAATGTTGCCGGGGTTTTCTATATCCTTGTTGGAGGCCTCGGGCTGGCCATGATGGTGGCTCTGATCGAGTTCTGCTACAAGTCTCGGGCCGAGTCCAAGCGAATGAAACTCACCAAGAACACGCAGAACTTCAAACCTGCTCCTGCCACCAACACCCAGAATTACGCTACCTACAGAGAAGGCTACAACGTGTATGGCACAGAAAGTGTGAAAATCTAGGGGTACGGCTACGGGCCGGGAACTAAAACCCTCTGGGTTTTCTTTCTTTCTTTTTTTTTTTAAAGCTGTGCATGATATTTTGTCGTCCGCATCAGTGGGCTGCTGCAAAAGGGCTTTTGAAACAGCATCTGGTGGCAGTCTCAGAGTATTAAGTGATTTAAATTTCTTCCCAGAACAGAAGTAAGCTTGGTACCATCCTGTATTACAGTGATAGCTTGGCTCCATGCTGAAGCGAGTAACAACTCCTCTCTCCAGCATTGTGCTAGTTGAGTACATACAAAAGTATTTTGTTAATTGCTTTAAAAATTACTGTAATCAGAATTCGCCTCTCTCTTGCTAGGGACCTCTTCCCCTTTACTTTTTAAGCTCTAATCAGGCCAGGTAAGTGCTTTTAGGAAGTCTCAAAAAAAAATCTACAATAGAACAAAACGGTCTACACTAGAAATCATGATTTCCAAAGCATGAATAGTAGAGTTGAATTGCTGAAAAATGACTCTGGAAAAACCTGGTTAGCCCGTCGCCCACAGACTGTGCCTTTCCCCAGGCTGAGCTTCCCTGCCCCTCACTGCCGGGCAGTGATGAAATCTTTCTGGTTTTATTATAGATCCTCACCCTGACAGCACGCAAGAGGAGAAGCAGCAGAGAATGTGGCTACTTCATGGATTCGGACCACCTGAGCCAGTCGTACTCTCTCCGAGGTGTCAGGCATGACACGCATTGATGATGGTGCAATGTACTTTTAATAGGAAAAACTGGTATTTTTTCCTTCAGTGCCTTATGGAAGACTCTGAGACTCACAACAATGCAAACCATCACCGAAATATTCTTGCTTTGCTTGAAAGAAGAAAAAGAAAAGTAAAAGAAGGAAAGAAAAAGAAAAGAAAAAAAGAAAAATGAAAAGAAAAAAAGAAAATACAAAAGAAAAGGAAAAAAAAAGAGAGAAAAGAGAAAAGAAAGGAGAAAAGAAGAGAAAAAGAAAAAAGAAAAGAAAAAAGAAAAAAGAAAAGAAAAGAGAAAAGAAAAGAAAAGAAAAGAAAAGAAAAGAAAAGAAAAGAAAAGAAAAGAAAAGAAAAGAAAAGAAAAGAAAAGAAAAGAAAAGAAAAGAAAAGAAAAGAAAAGAAAAGAAAAGAAAAGAAAAGAAAAGAAAAGAAAAGAAAAGAAAAGAAAAGAAAAGAAAAGAAAAGAGAGAAAAGAGAGGAAAAAAGAAAAGAGACAAAGAGAACAAGAGAACAAGAGAAAGGAGAAGAAGGAAAGGACTGGTAACAAGATATGAGTATGTGGAAAAAAAATCTTGTAAAAAAATCAGTGCAACAAAAGCCATTCTTTGATACCACTGCACAGTAAATGAACTTGTATCCTGAAAGCAAACCACAGCCGGTTTCATCAGCCACCCCAATCGTATCAAATTATGAAACTCCTCCTGACACAAAGCCTCAGAAATCTGCTGCGTGCGAATACGGACTGGCCTGTCACTGCTTGTATGAGCTGATGTCAAGATGTTTCAGTATTTACTTACCAGTGCTGTGATTTTTTTCTTTTTTCTCTCCGAGCCACTTTAAACTCTCCAGCTAATCTGAGCAATTCTGTATAGCAGTAAAAGGCGTAACACCTGAAGAAAAGAATCTGTGCATTAAAACCAGTTAAGGTCAATGACTGTGAATCTGTAAATCCAAAAGAAAGTAATTTGTGGAACTGCATGTCTTGCTTCCAGATCAGTAAATTAATTTCTTGACAAGGTAGCTAAAGTGCGGGCAGAAAATATTGCATTCCTTTTTTTTTTTTTTTTTTCTTTCTATCATCAGGCTTACCTACAGGTGCTTTATTAAAATGACATTGGGTGGCTTTTAAAAAAAATGCAAATGAAAAGCTACTTGCTGTTTAGGTTCAGACCATATATCTCTTTTCTTGCTGTGCATTTGCATTTTAATTCACTGTTTAATATCAAGCAATGAAGCGCAGGTTAGTTTTTCCCAGGCCTGCTTCTGCTTCGCCCCGGTTCTCCCACAACTCGCACTGTGCTCAGCTAATGCTTCTCGGCAATGGTCATTTTAAAACAGAAGTAAGGGAAGAGGATAGTAACTCAAATTAGAGCTGCAGTTCCAGAGTAATATTAAGCGATCTAACATGACTCCTGCTAGTACTGTTATATTATATCAGCTCCTGCCAACTCTTGTTTCATGGCTCCCGGGGCGAGGATGCTCCTGTCCTTGCCCTCTCTGTAAAGGGGACGCCGCGCTCCAGCCGACGCCGCTACAGGTAGGGGCTCGCTATTACTCACATCCAACGTCTTAGACAGCCGCAGCGTTTCAGCATTGAACCTCTGCCTGGAAACTACTTAAACTTCATCTTTAAAAAAAAAAAACAAAGCAAAACAAACAAACAAACAAACAAAAAAAAAGCAAAAGACAAAAAAAAAAAACCACCTTTAAACATATTGTCAATCACATGGGAAATGTTCAATGGAATATCTGCATACTAATTACCTCTAATCGACAATATGTATTTTCTGTAGTTTACTATAGAGTTTTATTTCATCGGTAACATACAATGAAAAAGAAGCTCATTTAAACCAGTCTGACCCTTAGGCATTTAGTTTGCTGATGATAGATCTGAACTTTTAATAGGACTTAAAAAAACGAAAAAGAAAAAGATTATATGGGGAAAGTCTTGTTAAAAATAAGTATTTTCAACAAAATGTAATATAAACTCATTTTAAAAGCTCATAGGAGAATAATTTATTGTTCGAGTTTTTAACAAGATATCGACAAAAAATTGTTGGTTTTCATTTTCTTTTCATGAAACTGTGATTTTTTTTTTTTTTTCCAACTTCTGAACGCGATCACATCCCCAGTAAGGGCGAGCTAAAGCTGTGCAGTTATGAGTTGTATTTAAAACAAACATTTTTCTTAAAAGCTGTATAAAAGATGTGTGTTTATCAAATCAATTTTTAAGAACGGAGGCTTCACACCAGTGAAGGGAGTTTGGTAAATGGTTCGCTATTTTTTAAACTTGCATGTAAAGCTAAAACAAAATGTGTTGAGTGCTTACCAATTCCGGCTACCAACTTCAAGCTATCGGAAGTTCGGCAGTAGTCTCACGATGATTTGTTTCCATATTTTTTTTTTCATTTGTTTTGCTTTGGGGGATTTTGGGGTTCTTTCCTTTTTTTCTTTTTTCTTCCTATTTTTTTTTTTTTTTTTGTAATTTAAGTTCCTACTTTTTGGTCGTTGAAACTGCACTTCAGTGAGCAGAAAAATTGCCAAGCAAACTAATGGCTGTAAAAGCATAAACTGCATGTGTGGGCATCAATTACTGAGCCTCATTTTAATGAGGTGTTGTACAAAGAGTTTTAATACATTTTGTAAATAAAACTGTAAAGAAAAAAAAAATAAAGGGCCCCGCTGATCTTTTCCCTAGAGGAGAGAGAGTCCCTACCTGCTGCTATTTGGGATGCCCCCCGCCCCGGGGATTTAGTTTGGGGACAGGCGGTGCCACCAATGTGGCGCCCATAACACTGAACCAAGGATGCTGCTGGGAAATACTTATTTTTGTTCTGATATCCTGTGAACAAGCTAATTATTTTTTTTCTTGATGAGTGAAGCTGGTTGATCTTGGCCATGTCCAAAGGGCGCCCTGCGGGGAGGGGCAGGGGCAAGCCCCCGGGCCTGGAGGCACTATGCCGAGCCCCCGGCCGGGCAGCACCATGGGTAAGTAAATTCCTCAAATGTTGACTATACAGATTTATTTTCCTGCAGCTCCCATATTTTCAGCAATGCTTTTAAAAAAACCAAAACCTTCACCCAACACTGCAGCTAATCCCAACTCTAATTTATTGAGTTCAGCTCAACCACAGTTTGTTTTTTCCAGGTCACCACTAACCATGAACCATAGGACCTAAACCCGGTATTAAACAGCCGGTGTGCACCCCAATCACACCCTGATAGGGGCAGCCCCGCCGGGGTACGCCGGCCCAACCAGCCTGGTGGTCCCCCTCAGAAGCCAGCTGGGCGCTGAGCTGGAGCAGTGCAAGACTGCACTGGGATGGCTGGGGGTGTAAAGATCATCTCCTGAAAAAGAAGAAAACTCCAGCCCTCCTTGACAGGTCGCACCGCTGCAGAGTGGGCGAGTGAGGGACCCAAGCAACCAGTTTGGTACCTGCTGGCCAAAGCACAGCCTGGAACCCAAGCAGATGAGCTGCATGGTGCCTCTGCGTCTGGGGAAAAAATGTGCATGGGGTGTCCGGCCATGGGGCTGCCAAGCCCGGTGGAGCTGCTACTGGTGCTTGTACGTGAGCACAGTGGAGGGACACGGGCTCAGCCCACCTGCGTGTCTTCAGCCACAGCAAAATAAGCTCAGGAATAAGCAAGGGCTAAGGAAGAGGAGTGAACAGCAATTATTTGCCCCTAAACCATGCTACAAGGTTGAAGGTTTCAGGCTGTTTTGGGGGCCAGCCCTTCCCTCACCTTGGGGAACCTTCGCTGAAATGAGCCTATTTATATGGTCTGAAGTTGTGCCAGGGCGGGTTTAGGTTGGACATCATTAGGAAAAATTTCTTCACGGAAAGGGTTGTCAGGCTCTGGAAGGGGCTGCCCAGGGAAGTGGTTGAGTCCCCATCCCTGGAGGTATGTAAAAGAAGGGTAGAGAAGGTGTTTAGGACCATGGTTTAGTGGTGGGATGGCAGTGCTAGGTTAACAGTTGGACGTGATGATCTTAAAGGTCCTTTCCAACCTAGACGAGTCTATGATTCTATATGTAAAGCACCCACACAATGAATGCAGGGAGCCGGGCGCGGGGAGAATAAAAGAAGATTGCTCTGTCCTTTAGCCTTCATTTCACGCTCAACAGCCAGGCCAACATGGGCGAGTTGCGTTTTTCTAGAGAGCGGGCTTAGGTCGACCTGACAGCCGCACCCAGCCCTGTGGGGGTGAGCGATGCCCCCTTCCCCAGGTACCTGCCAAAATGTGTCGCTGCAAGCAGGGCTTAACTCGCCTGCTGAGCCC